AAAAAATGATGAACAGTTTCAAGGCCATTTTCTTAAATCGAAACTTGGGATGACCAGGCAGCTAAATTTTCTCTCTTCCTCCCTAGATTTTTGCAGATGACATTATAATTTTAGTATTGGTCTTATGCCATGCCCAAACCCTGCCTTTTGTTTTTTCCTAGGGATTACATTTCTCTGGTTTTTGTGTGAAGAGTTTTTCCAGTCACCGCATACCTCGCTAAGAAAGCTCTCCTTGGGTTTTGTAAATCAATACATCATGCTGATGCCTTCTGTGAGTATGCTTGAAGTATTTTTTTTCTCTTAATAATGTTATTCTTTTACTCAAGGTTAACATCCAATATTATGTCTTAATTCATTGCAGGCTTTATTTACATCCATGGATCAGTACCTTCAGAGTTTGTTTATTCTTGCTAATGACCCTGCTACAGAAGTCCGAAAATTGGTGAATGCATTCTCTTTTTACTGTTACTAGACTTTTCTATTTGTGGCTTCCAGTATAGAACTGAAACAGATTCTTCTCTAGACATGTTGAAAATAATCTCTATTTACTTTAGTAATTCGTTTCTGGTTTAAACTGTTTTTGGCCATGAAGTCTTAGCTATCTAGTCATGGTGTTTTTTCTTGAATGGATTCTATGATAACATATATCTCAAGGGAAGTGGGTATTTGCTAATCTTGACATATAACGTTATGGTTCTTGAAGTGAGGTTGTAAATAGACTATAATCTTATCATTTTATGATCTAGTGATGGCTTATTGAAATTTAAGTTGATTATAAGCTTAGCTGCGATCTCATCTGTTTGTTGTCTATTTCAACATAATAGGTTTGTGCAGCATTTGTTCAGCTAATTGAAGTCCGTCTATCTTTCTTGGAGGTGAGTTTCTTGCTTGTTTTATTTTAGTGTCACATGTTTTCTTTTTTAGTACATATATTTCTTTTTGGTCATATTTTTGCTGGATGCTATGCCCTTTTATTTCATCTCTTGTAATCCAGTCTGGTCAAAGGGTTTGAATAGACCTTTTTATTGTGATTTCTTAGTTTCTATATCATTATTTTGACTTGTTTGTTGTCTTTTTCTATGTGTGCCGCCTTTCTCCTTCTATTATTGATGATGATGTGCACTATTTCAGCCACATCTAAGGAATGTAATTGAATACATGCCATAAGTCAACAAGGATGTTGACGATGAAGTGGCTCTTGAAGCTTGTGAATTCTGGTAATCCTCTGCTTTGCAAAAATAAATCTGAATGTCTTCACTAGTAGTTTAATACTCATTATGGTGGCACATGTGGGAATTAAACATCAAGGCAATTCTTTGTTAATCATGTATGTATCTAGATTTCTATGTTATATACCATAGGATGTCGGTGGGAATATGAAAATGCTATTCTCGTCTGCAATACTATTTCTGAAAACATTTCATAATGAAGTAGTGTAAATATGCCAAGAGCGGGTGTCAGTACTTGTTGAATTCTTGTGACATCAGTATTGTTATCCTCTTTGGAGAACAGGGATCGCTTGCAATTTTTAATTTCGGGTTTGCTGGTAGTGAAACTCATGGAAGTTGATGTTTCACTAGAGGGGCATGTGATGTTTGATTAATTCTGCTATTTTCAAATTCCCCACTTTTCAGGTTTCTGGTTTTATGTAGTTATACCCTTGGATAAGCTAGTGTTTGTGAAGATTGTTAGTGTTTATTACATCATAAATGTAATGTCATAGTGTTGCATTCTTTCATGTAAGAAAATGAAGATTTTCTTATATTAAGTACTTGACATATGTGTTTGCTGGGGTTTGTGACTTTTGGTTTTATAATATCTGCAACCCTTCGTTTAGAACAGGTGAAGAAGGGAAAGGTTAAGGGATCTTGGGCTATTATTATTAAAAAAAAAAAAAAAAAAAAGGAAATATTCTGCAGACCTTGTTCTTTTATTTATATATATTTATTTTATTTTATTTTATTTCTCCATTGATAGCCATCTCCTCGACAGGATTGCATAATATGATGCTCAATTACCACCTGAAAACCTAAAAGAATTCTTGCCATATCTACTTTCGATATAGCTAATGTTTGTTTACTTCCCTTTTCTGCTAGTTACTTTTTTCCCAGAGTAAGTTTCCATGATTTTACTCATGTCTGAAACAACTTTTGTAGGTTTTGCTTTCAAATATGGTCTATGCTGATGATGATGAGTCACTTCTTGAAGCCGAGGCTGACTTTTCTGTTCAATTTGTCTTTGAATGATTTTGAATATTGTATTGCATAATTTATGTGGATCAATTTATTGTTGCTAAAGGATGAGTCTCTCCCAGGCAGGGACCAGGTTTATACTTTATAATTTTTGTTTTTGAATATATGTGTGTTCATATATTGTTTGTTTTGTGTGAAATCAGAAGAATTTTCTTTATATTGATTGTGAACAAAATACAACAATATATACACATTCAACAGTCCATATAAGAAAATAAAATAATCTAAACTAGGAAAGGGAATGATCTAATTTCCCATTCTAAAGCTCCTATTCCTAAAACATTTGATTTGTACAACTCAACACTTCCCCTCAAGCTGGGGCATATAAATCATATGCACTAAGCTTGTTACAAATAAAGTCAATACGAGAACCCCTAAGTGATTTAGTGAGGATATTTGCTAGCTGATCATTTGAGCTGACATGACTAGCGGTAATACAACCAGATAAGATTTTCTCTCTAATAAAATGACAGTCAATTTCTATATGCTTAGTCCTCTCGTGAAACAATAGGTTGGAGGCAATATGGAGAGCAACTTGATCATCACAAAGTAACTTCATCTTTACTACTTCTATAAACTTCAATTCTTGGATTAGTTACTTCAACTAAATGAGCTCAGAAGTTGCTAGAGCCATTGCACGGTATTCTGCCTCTGCACCCGATCCGGCAACGACATCTCGCTTCTTACTTTTTCAAGATACAAGGTTTCCTCCCACAAGATCACAAAAACCTGAAGTGGAACGTCTATCAGATGGAGAACCTGCCCAATTATCATCAGAATATCTGACAATCTGTGTATGGCCCCTGTTTTCATATAATAGACCTTTGCCTGGTGTACCCTTGATATATCTTAAAATCTGAATAGCTGCATCCCAATTACCGTCACAAGGAGATTGTAGAAACTGACTAAAAACACTGACGGAGAAGGAAGTATCAGGTCGTGTAATGGTGAGATAGTTAAGTTTACCAACCAGTCTTCAGTATTTCCTAGCATCCGCAAGAGGCTCCCCCTATCTAGGTGAGACCTTTGAATTAGGATCCATAGGAGAGTCTATCAGTCTACAGTCTGACATCCATATTTCTTCTTAAAGAGCCAATGCATATTTCCTTTGAGAAATAACAATACCTGAGCTAGATTGAGCCACTTCGATACCAAGGAAGTATCTAAGTAATCCCAAATCTTTGGTCTGAAAGTAGTGGAACAAGTGTGTCTTCAACTGTTTAATGCCATCTTGATCACTTCATGTAATAACAATATCATCGACATAGACAACCAGATATATGCATTGCCTTGATGAATTATGTTTATAGAAAACAGAGTGATCAGACTCACACCGAATCATCCCAAACTCTTGAATGACATTACTAAATCGTCCAAACCAGGCACGAGGGGACTGTTTTAAACCATACAGAGAGCGACGAAGTTTACATACCAAGGCAGACTCCCCCTGAGCAACAAAGCCAGGTGGTTGCTCCATATAGATTTCTTCTTGAAGCTCACCATGAAGAAAGGAATTCTTAATGTCTAATTGGTACAGAGGCCAGTGGCGAAGAGCAGCCATAGATAAAAACAAGTGGACAAAAGACATCTTAGCCACAGGAGAAAAGGTCTCATAATAATCCAACCCATAAGTCTAAGTATACCCTTTTACAACCAACCGTGCCTTCAATCGATCAACCTGACTATCTAGGCCAACCTTGACAGGGTCTCATAATAATCCAACCCATAAGTCTGAGTATACCCTTTTACAACCAACCGTGCCTTCAATCGATCAACCTGACCATCTAGGCCAACCTTAACAGTATAAATCCAACGATAACCAACAGTCGATTGGCCGGGAGGCAAATGAACTAATTCTCAAGTATTATTATGATGTAAAGCAGTCATCTCTTCAACCATAGCTTGACGTCAGCTGGGATCAATCAGTGTCTCACAAACATTAGAAGGAATAGAGACAGAAGAAATGGTTGACACAAAAGCATAATATGATGGAGATAAGTGATGATAACTAAGAAAATTATAGATTGGATGAGGGTTGCGAGTGGACCGCATACCTTTACGAATTGCAATGGGAAATTGGTCTTTAGGAGGTAGGGCTGTAGTAGGAGAGGAATCTAACATAAGAGGATCGGGAACAAGAGCCTTGGGAACATCATCAAGAATAGTGTCAGTAGCCGTACTTAGAACGATAGCATCACCTAGAGGAGGAGACTCGCCCATAGGGATAGGACTTTGAGGAATAGTAATAGACTCTACAAGATGATTATAAGTAGACTCAATGTAGGGTATAAGAAGGACAGTAGTGATAGAATCACTGTCTGATGTAGAAAAGAAAGGAGAAGACTTAAAAAAGGTAACATCGACGGATAGAAAATATTGACGAATGGATGGAGAATAACACCTATAACCCTTTTGAAGTCTTAAGTATCCTAGGTAGATTTGGCAGATAGTTTGTTGTTACCTGGGGAAAAGATATGGACAAAACATGTGCAACCAAAGATACATGAAGGAAGAGAGTATAACTGTTGATTAGGGAACAAAACAAAATGAGGGACTTGGTCTTGTTGAACAGAAGAAGGCATCCTATTAATCAAGAAACAGGCAGTTAACATAGCATTTGCCTAGAACCAGAAAGGAACTTGATTGTGTAAAAGCAGGGTTCAAGCAGTTTCAATCAAATGTCTATTCTTACGCTCAGCAACTCCATTTTGTTGTGGAGTATAAACACAAGAGGATTGATGGAGAATTCCCTGAGATGACATGAGTTTGGTAAAGGGAGCAAAAAAAAATTCACGAGCATTATCATTCCGAAACACATGAATAACAACATTAAATTGTGTCTTAATTTCAGCACAAAATGATTCAAATATAGAAAATAATTCGAAACGACTTTTCATTAAAAATAACCAAGTGCAACAAGAATAATCGTCAATAAACGTAACAAAATATTGAAACCCTAAAATAGACGAGACTCGACAAGACCCCAACATCGGAATGAACTAACTCAAAAGGGGATGTAGCTCGTTTATTGACACGCTTTGGAAACATACTACGAGAATGTTTTCCAAGTTGACAGGACTCACAATTTAAAGATGATAAAGTAGATAGACCTGGAACCATCTTCTAAAGCTTTGTTAAACTAGGATGACCCAAACGATTATGAAGGAGAAGAGGAGAATCGGAGACAGTGCAAGCAATAGAGGCAGAAGGTAACTTGAGATGACAGAGGCCCTATGACTCATGTCCTGCACCAATCATTCGTCCTATGCTGCGATCCTGTATAACAACAGAATCATTAGTAAAAATGATAGAACAATTTAAAAGTGGGTGAGTTTACTAATAGATAGAAGGTTAAAAGGGCAATGGGGAATATACAAGACAGAATCTAAAGTCATGAAGGAAAGTGGTTGTGCATGACCTACTACTTTAACAACTACTTTGTGTTAGTAAACAGTCCCGTATACGCAGCGGAAACAAAAATATAATATAATAGGATCGTTTACATGAGCCAAGATCAAGGGTATGATTTTAACAATTTATATTAAATAAAATCTGCATAAATATTCAACATGAGTTAAGAGAAACAAACGCACGTTGAAGGCTCCTCCAAATTTGTCGTCGAACGTTTTGCTACCGATCCAAGTGTAGGATCGAACCTGCGTAGTCCACACGAAGACAATCTCAAAAGAACCAAAGAGGGATTTGCTAGATCCTCTTTGGCTTCAAGATTAAGAAGAAAACAAAAATCAATTGAATTGATTTTTAGGCTTAAGATGTTACTGCCGTGGGAGAAGCAAAAGGGCTGCTGTGTGTATTTGTTTTTCAAAGAAAAAACCCCTCATTCAAAATCACACACTTTTCCTTTTATATTTAAAAACAATTTGCCCTAATCCCATACGGAATAGGCTTGGGCTCCAACCCAAACGCCCCATGTTGCCAAACACTCCCAATTTGATTTATTTTAATTTCCATCATTATCTCAATTAAAATCAATTAATATATATATTTAAATATATATTAACATTTAACAATAATGATAATATATTTAAATATGTGCGAACACACATTTAAACGTAATTTCACTTATTTAATTTTTCTAACAAATTAAATAAAGGCTACGACCTCAGCAAATTTAATTGCACTGTGAAATTACCAAAATACCCTTTCGCCTTAAAAGACGAAAACGCCCTTCTTTCTTCTTGCATCTTAAATTGTCTTCTATGTGTGTGACCCTTAGGCTCCTCATCATATCGGCAGTGTATAGTATTGCGATTAACACCAATTAATCGTCTCACTAATACACAGACCAAGATTGGCCCCTAGCAAGGCATCATGGCCACCCGATAGATTCGGATTCAGCAAAGTAGCTACCTGTCAACGATATGGTTACCGTGCAATTCGATCCTTTCATCATACGTTATCTCGACGAGACGAAGGCATAGAAATAGTGTCAACCTTCGGTTACTCTCGATATTATTTATTCAGTTTCTGGACCAATGACCCGTATTATAAACTGGATAGAGCAACAACTCAATCCCACTGTGGCCACAGTTTTAGTGTCATTGCCATATACTGAATTGCGCCGTGAGATAACTTTCTCCCGTACCCGGGAGTGATAAATCCTCTGTCAATCCACCATAGTCTTGATACACTCCTTGATGCAGCCAATCACCACCGTATTGACAGCTCTGAAAAGAACTGCGTTAGGCTAGTGTCAAACTACACCAATCGGTGCACAAGGCGCTCCGGTGATCTCAAGTCTAAGGATCACATGCACCACCATTCGTTAGAGGATTTGTTCCATAGACACTGGGGTTACCATCCATATGGAATCCTCTGGTGGGTCAGTCCAGTGAACTTGCTGTGGTGTAATCGCCTACAACAAACACCCATGTGTTGCACCAGGTTGTCACCAAACAACCTTGACAAGTGAGATCAGTCACTGCCTTTCGACAGGGTCGTTCAACACTATGATAGCCTTACCGTATTATCTGTGCCCTTAGTTCAGAATAATACTGGGGCTACGGACGTTTCTAGAATGGCCACCATATGTGCTCATAGGGTTCTCACTATCAAGATTTGAAACACTTGATACCCTCGTCACGGCTCTACCATTCTAAGGACATATATCAATACATATTGCAATAATAATGATTTACGCGATATAGAATAAAATGCCTTTTATTGATTAATGAACATTATTACAAAGAGTCAATTCTACAATAATTGATTGGCTCTAGGGCATCTACTCTAACAATCTCCCACTTGCACTATAGCCAATCATTCATGCCCTCAACACTGAATGACCCACGTGCCTGCACTATAGCCAGTCAGTCATGCACTCAACATTGAATGACCCAAGTGCCCATCATGCTTCTGCTACAACAGAAACTTTAATAGTGGGTTGGTAGGTATTCTGCAAATCTGCACATTCCCTTTCATATCAGATTGAATCAACTAAGTAAGTGTTTGGATTACTGGTGAGACCGTGATTCCTCAGCCACAACAATGGCTCCATTGTTATCGTAGTACAACTATACTGGATTAGCAATGCTTGAAATCACATCAAGTTCAGTAATGAAATTCTTGATCCAAACCGCCTACACGGCTGCTTTAGTGGCTCCATTTGTGGACAGCAAACACAATTGCCATCAGTTCCCTTTCGTACACTGATTTTTGTCAGGACTGACCGGAGAAGGCTTGGCTAAGAAATGCAATAAAGCACTGATTCTGGACTAGGACAGCTCCAATACCTTGTCCTGAAGCGTCTGTGTGAACTTCAAATGGAAGGGTAAAATCAGGGACTGCCAGAACAGGGACTGAAGTCATTGCTGTTTTAAGGGCTTCAAAAGCTCGTTATGCTTGGTCATTCCATGCAAAAGAGTCCTTTCGCAGCAACTGTGTTAAAGGCTGCGCGGTTAAACCATAATTATGTACAAAGCGGCGATAGTAGCTAGTTAGCCCCAGGAATCCCGTTAATCCTTTGATCGTGCGTGGAATTGGCCAAGTTAGCATTAAGTTAATCTTCTGTGGGTCAGCCTCTACCCTTTTTGATGAAATTAGGTGACCCAAATACTCTAATCTCCGACGGGCAAACATACACTTATTGTAATTTACCACTAATTCATGCTTGGTGAGCAGATGAGTCTTCAAATCAGGGCTGTAAATGAGGATATCGTCAAAAAACACGAGTTTGAACTTACTCAAAACCGGTTTAAAGATTGTATTGGTTAAATCTTGAAAGGTGGAAGGGGCGTTGGTTAATCTAAAGGGCATGACTAGGAATTCATAATGCCCTTCGTGAGTCCGAAAGGCTGTTTTGGGTACATCCTCTTCTTTAACCCTAATTTGGCGGTAACCTGATTTTAGATCCAATTTCATAAAAATGACTGCCTCTGACAGCTCATCCAGCAGTTCATCAATTGAGGGAATAGGGAACTTGTTGGGGATACTGATGTTATTTAGTGCCCTGTAATCTACACAAAAACGTCAACTACCATCTTTCTTCTTAACCAACAACACAGGGCTAGCAAAGGGACTGGTACTAGGTTGTATAATTCTTGCCATCAGCATCTCACCCACCAACTTTTCGATTTCATTTTTTTGGGAATAGGAGTATTTGTATGGGCGAATGTTAGGGGGTTTGGCATTAGCTTTTAAGACTATGGCGTGGTCAGTGGGTCTCTTAGGTGGGAGCTTAGTAGGCTGTTCAAACAGGTGGCTAAAGCCATCTACAACCATAGCAGTTACCGGATCAACGGGTTCCTCTGTTTCCTCTCCCTTGATACCAATGGAGCAAAATTCAATCACATAACCAACATCCTCCCTCTGCAGAGATTTTAGCATTGCCTTAAGTGACACAATCATCTTGACTAAAGAAGGATCCCCTTGTAAAACTACCCTCTTCCCTTCACTGATAAATGCCATTGTCAGATTTCTCCAATTGGCACACACATCGCCCAGTTTACTAAGCCAAGAAATTCCCAACACCACATCTGCCCCTCCTAATTCAAATGGAAAATAATCCTGTCTCAATTCAATCCCTTGTATCCTCAATTTCACTCCTCTGTAAATACCCTCCCCTCTGACTGTAAAGCCATTCCCTACCATAACCCCAAATGATTTCCCTCTCTCAACTGCTAGACCTAATTTTCGCACCAAATCATGCGAAATAAAATTGTGGGAAGCCCCACTATCAACCAAAACAATCACCTCCTCCCCTCCAACCATCCCTTTGAATTTTAGGGTTTTATCTGTGGTTATCCCTACAATTGAATGCATAGATAAAGCCAATGGGTTACCTTCATCGGAAAACTTTCGAGATGGGTTTAGGACTGACTTTGTCGTTTTCCGTTTCATCATCATCGGTCACTAACAGGATCTGGATCGACTTGTTCCTGCATTTGTGATTTGGCCCAAATTTCTCATCATAGCGGAAATATAGGCCTTTGTCACGCTTTTGCTACAATTCGGCGTCGGACATTAGCCGGAAGGTTTCCCCACGAAAGTTCGGCGTCATGGATTCGCTAGATCGATTTCTGTCATGAAATCAATTTGGGAAAAAGTTTTGACCTAACCCTGGGTTTCGCGATGGATTGACCCATGAGTTGGGCGCCCGAGTTCTAGGCTTGGGGTGACCCGATTATAAGTGTCTAGTCTATTCCCTTGGGCCTTAGCAAACCTAGGTCTGTTCGTTTCTAGAACCCAGTTTCGTTCCTCCACGCGATGGGCCTAGTCCATTAGGCAAAAAGGGAAGTGGGCTGAGTTAAACGTATTTCAACTCTGACTTCCTCCTTTAGCCCATTTGTAAAAACCCCCATCAGTATATCTTCTCCTACTTGGCATAAGGGAGATGCATGAGCTTTAAAATTTTCCCTGTATTCTGTCACTATACCAGTCTACTTCAGCGCTACAAGAGCATAAGCTGATCCTTTAAACAACGGTCTGAATCTCTCAACCACAGCGGTCTTTAAGTCTTTCCAAGAATCGATTGGTGCTATGGACTCCACCCACTGATACCAGTTCAGGGCACGACCCTCCATACACGGTGGTCGTTGCCACCTTTTCTCCCTCTTCGTATTGGTTCAGCGAGAAATATCGGTTAGCTTTGAATGTCCAACCATAAGGATCTTCCCCGTTGAATATTGGTAGCTCCAACTTCTTCCCCTTCCTCTCATCCTTTTAGTTCTCTGCTTCCTTGTTCCTATCGACTCCCCTGCTGTCACTACTATTGGAGGGCTCAGAGTGGGATGTTTTTCCCGTATCGCGGCTCAAATTTGCAACCCTTTCTTCATTTAGCCTCATCCATTCGCAAAGCTCCAGTAAGTAGCCTTTGATGCTCCCTAGCTCTTCCCTTACATTTCCCATTTCCTTCTCTACGTTCCCCATTTCCTTTTCCAACCCTTCAACTCTGTTCTCCATCTTCGATTTAACCATCACCCAAACGAAGCTTTGATACCAATTTGATAGGACTCCCTGCAACAATTACCACAAAACAGCACAAACGACCCAAAATAGCAGAGAAAAGAGTTCACCCAATCAAGGCTGAACCGGATTATATTTCTAGAGAATGAAATTAGAGAAAACTACACAATTGGAACTCAAAACAGATAGTTCCCAGCAATTCGAGGAGTTGGGGGCCTCCCTCAATGACTCTAAAATATATTCGTATCCTTCCCTAAAACTGACCTCTCTATTTATACTATTTCCTTAACTAACATATTCCCTCCACTAACAACTTTGATTCCCCACCAACACGTGACAGTAGTAACCAATTCTCCCAACAAACATGCAAATCACACTCCTAATGACTTACTGCCCCAAATGCCCCAAATGCCCTTTGTATTGATAGACATTTTTAATGGGAGGTCTTTCATGTTCATATAGGGATATCATCTGTGGTTTTGTTATTACTAATACTTTTATATTTTTGCAAATTTAGGAAATAGCATGTAGGTTTATCAAGTATTGATCAGCAATGCAAGCTGGGGTGAAAATTTGTGCCAGCCTATAGAACCAGTTTATCTTTCTTTTTTTTGGTGGCACTTCTATGTGGTTTATTAGCTCATAGTTGTCTTCTACTTCGTTTTCAGGTGTCATGTTCTCTTTGTGGGTATTTTTCTAGTTGTGCATATCGTTTTCTGAAATTGAAATTGAGTTCTAATCAAAATTTTATGTGGTCCCTTTTTGTTCCAATCAAGTTTTATCTACTTAAAAAGTAATTAAAAGATTAGAAGTTGTGGTCGCTGAATATTGTCCCTATTGGTTCTGCAGTGCCACAGGTATAACTTATAGAGAGTGGGCGCTGAGAGCTAAGGTTTGTTTGATTCTTTTACTCCAGGATTTAACTGTTTGATCTCATTTCCTCTTGACCAAGATGGTGTTATTTGGGCTAACAATTTTTCAATGTGATGACAATCTATCCAGGTTTATGTTGTTATTATGATCCACTAAATCTTTATGCCTCTATTGTGAAAACATTTATTTTCCTGTCATGATAATGCTCCTGTAATTTATGTTAAATTATTTTTTATATTGATACATAAAAATAGAAGAATGAAGTCAAGCCTCTTCAGTACTTTTTAATCTCTCATTTAAGAAAAGGAAAAGGCTCTTCAATACTCTTGTACTAAAAGTGGTAGATTATATGTATGCTGCTTGTGACCTTTTTGACTTGATCTTCAAACATGGACAGTTTTTATTTATTCTATCTGCTCTTATCCCTTTCAAGTTTACTCCTTCTGGTGGTAATTACTGATAATTGGACCATGTATATGGTTTCAAATGTCAAACATTCCTTCATCACTAGCTTTTCCTAAAACTTGTGCACTTATTGGATTATTTTGAATAAATACTAGTAATAGACGTGTAAAATCTAGTGGTAGTGAGACTTCAATAACTGGAATCCCAATGCAGATATCGTGACCCGGGTATGTTATCTTTGCTTCTGTAAATCAGAGTTCTAGCTGCAAATTGGCTCATCTAATTGCACTGACATTGTGAGTTGAAATTTTCATCCTGGACAGAAAAATAAAGCCAAACTTTGCTTTATATGAAATGTTTCTTTTTTTGGGAAGAAACTATGTATTTTATGAAGCAGTCTAAAGATAGAATAAATTGTTTTACTAAGGTTACTTTGTTAGATAGAGCTAAGTCCGTTACTTTATTAGATTTATTTCAGAATTCTCACTGGAAAAGACGCTCCAGGTTACTTAAAGAAAAAAGAAAATTAAAAAAAAAAAAAAAATACCTTGTGTTACCGCTTTACATGATTGAGTTGGTAATCTTAAATTTGGTCTAGTGCGAATTACTTTAACTACTGCATGTTTTTCTAAAAAAATTCTTCGACGAATTTTATTCCTCTATGTTGCCTCTGTTGCATTTAAATGTATGCAGCTTTCTAACTGCCTGACCAGACATTACTAGGAACGTAATCATAACCATAAACACAACATATCATTATTTAATTAATTTAATAGCAGGGTTCAAATATAAGATTGGCTTGGGTACCATTTAGATAACAGTTTAACCTAAAAGATTAAGCTTATAGGTAAAGGTTGTTTTTACTAATTCATCTAAAGTTGTTGGTGCTGTCCTTCTTGAGTCCTCTATGAAGATACTAGGGTTCAATATAGCCTGGGAGTTTTTGAATTAGAAATGGGGAGGAATCAATCGTTTTTTGTTGCTAGATCTCCAGTGTTTGAGGGTTCTTTGCACTTCCCAGTTGCTAAACATTCATCTAGGTTATTCATTAATTAACCATAACTACAGATGACAACAATAAATACAACAATTTCTGCATACACAACATGCTATGATTTAATTAACAC